GATAAATAGACCAGGTTCGAGTGAGGCTGAAAGTTCAAGGTAGGATGATGCATGCATAACTTGAGGGAAAAGTTTCATCATCTTCAGATTGTCTAGTAAAAACACGAAAGACATATTCATTGAGCAATTGTGGTATAGAGACGCTGTCTTAGGTGCTTGAACATAGCAGTCAAAAATCAAAACCTAGATATCTAAGCTGTGGAGTCTGAGATTTTTTTTGAATATTTAACAGGCTCCTAGCCCTGGGCTAATTAAGCACTATTAGAAGAAACACGCTCTTGTGTTATATACAGTGGTGTGCTGGTAATCTGGCTTACTGGGAAAAAAATTAAAAAATAAAAAGCCTTGATAGAGTATTTGAGGGGTTCCTAGTTGTACATATTCCTGTACTGTAGCCAATTTCTAGCTACCAAGATAATACCACTGGTGTGGAGTTGGGAAGGAGGTGCAGAATAGGCTCCTGAGCTGGCTGCAACAGAGCGCTGGTACTGGCATGTTTTGTTTTGTATGCTAGATATTAACATACTTCTACCTTTATTTTATTCATATGTAAAATAGGAAAAATATTTTGCAACTTTTATGAAGTTGTTTATTGATGAATATTTTTGGCGGAACCAAAAACTGGAGAAATGCAAGCTATGAAATTAATCACCATTAAGTGAAATGGTTAGACATTTATACATGAAAACAATATTAAACTTAGATTTGGAAAAACATAGACAAAAATAAACTCACAGATGGTAGACAACTTTAGAAATGCGGTAATACACCTCACTTATCTAACATCTTCAGGGAATGAGCTGTTTCATTTAAGTGAATTTTCCTAATAAAACTTACAGATTCAAACATTAGCACTTTTTAATTTTAACAAGTTTATGTGGAAACCTTTCAAAAATGGATTTGAAAATTTGTTGCCTTCTTTATTTTTATAACACATATTTTGAGTTTAAAAATAATATGTGATCATTATATAACATTTGAAAATAAACACATATAAAGGAGAAAATAAAAATATATTTCTAATCTCATCATCCAGAGGAAACCAGTGTTTTCAAGATGATTTAATTTAATTTCATCTTCTTACTTACATGTATATTTTTAAGTAATTGAAATATTTTTAATCAAATATATGTTATATGAATTTATTTGCAAGCATTTCTCACATCATTATTCTGTAAATGTATGTTTTTAATGGCAGTTCTATTTTGTCAAATATGCACACTAGAATCATTTTAAATATATACATATTGTTATTGATAGTAATTTACATTGCTTCCATTTTTCGTAATTATAATGTGCTGCAAAGAACAAACTCATATATCTCTTTCTACCTTAGGACATTTCCAATTATAAATTCCTGAAAATGGAATTAGTGGGTCAAAAGATAAGGTTGTTGTTTTAGACAGTTAATGAAGTTGGTCAAATTTTAGTGCAAATTGGTCAAACCTTGCCTGCAGAAAAAGTATGACAATTAATACTTTCACTAGAATGTATGAGAGTACCCATCTCTCTGTGTTCCTTGCCATCAGCAGACATTGCCATCTTTATTATTGTTTTCAAACAATGTGCTGCATGTCATAATGATTCAGTCATCATCATGTTTATAAGTGAGATTAATGAGATAATGTATGAGATAACACCTAGAGTACTGCATGACACATAGTCATTAGTTAGTAAATAACTAGGTCAAAGTTGAGGCTTAACATAATGTTTATCCCTCATTCACATTTCAGTGTGAGTCAATGAGGAGTCTGCTCCATGCAGTCCTTTAGAGATCGAGGCTTCTTCCACCTATTGGCTTCACTATCACTTAAGGCCTTAGAATCCTTGCTTCAAAACTCACTTCTGTTTAGTGGTGACCACAGGCAATCTAAGGCACAGTTGTTAATTCAAGTAAATTTTTGTTTTATTCATATACAAAGATGCACCCATGATTTATTAAAGATTGTAAGCCTGTTTGCCACCATTGTAATGCATTTTCTTCTTTTTATAACCTTTATGTCTCAAGCAAACACATATTATACTGATTCATGATTGCACACTGAATGTCTGCCACTCCTCTAGGGTAGAAGCACTTTGAGAGCCATGGGCTGAGCTTGATTCAACTTAGTCTCTTCAACACTTGATATGGTGTCTGGCACTTATTAATATTCAATAAATAATGATTGGGTCAATGAATAAATAACTGGATTAATAAATGTACTTTTTGTTCCTTTGCCTGCTTTTGTGGTTTCATTCATGTGGCCATATGTTCTCTCAGTGAGTCTCCCTCTCCTTCCACCAGTTATCCTAATCTTCAAACCTCTTGGAACTTCTGGGATAGTATATATAAAATAGAATATTAACTATCTGTGGGCCTAAAATAACTCTTGAAGTAGTTAAGCTTAGAAATATTAATAAAATTTATTTACATCAACACTGCCTTACTGTCTGGCCCATTACTATGTTCTGGGGAACTGAGGCCACCAAATAAGCAAATCTGAATGAGTGAGGCACATTTTCAAATCAATGTAGGCAGATACTCTATTACCTAAAAAAGAAAAAAAACCTGGATGTGCATTATCCTCATATGATGAATAACCCTTTTCCCTCAATAGTAGTATTTGGCATATTTGAATTCAACGTTTTCCCATGTTTTGTGTTTCCTGGACCAGGTCTTCTTTGGAATAAAAGGAAACAAAGAGTTCCTGGGATATCAAAAAGGTTCTGTCCATTTAATGACTTTTAAAAAAAGTCACTTACTACATCTATAGTAAGTGAGTTGAATCAACTCAATTGAAAAATAAAAAATAATTGTTCTTAGAGTTATCCACTGCAATGGAATTAAAAGCCAGTGCATAATAGAAAACTCTGTATTCTGGAATTGGGGAACTGATCTGACTTGGTGTATAACTAGGGTATTGTAAGACGAGCTACTTCAGATTCCACTACTGCTAGATATATAGCCTTCATATGAAATGTAAGTTTTATAATATCTGTTCTGTCCCCATCAGAAGTTTATTAGGCTTAGTTGAGATCAAATATTCAGAAGAAATAAAAATGTTATCAATACTTAGAGCAACACTACTTATTTTAAATAATACACTATTGATACTTCTTCTAAAGCCTTAATTTTTAAACTTTTTTCCAGTTCTTACTGGTAAAATGAATTTTATTCAAATTACAATAATGTTTATTAAATAATTTATTATTTATTATAAAAGATAATGTACCTTTAAAATGGTTTCTAAAATCTCTCTTCAGAGAAGGCACCTTTGTTGATTTCCAACTGGGCTTTCACTCTAAGTAGGCCTCCCAAACATAGCAATACCTCTCGGATTGTTAATTAGTTCTCCTACTCCAAGTTACACTGATGATCCCCTCTTCTTTTCTGATAGTTCCTGGGGAAGCAGTCTGATTACACAGGCCATTGCATATTTAGTTGGCCAATTAAAATCTTTGTCATTTCAAAATGTTCCTTGGCTTGTATCGCTTATGCCAACAATCTTTATGATTCAGGAGAATATTCCTAAGGCAGCTGGATCAGCTGGATGCTAACTGACATTTGGGTGATGCCTAGCAAGCAGAGTTAAGTCCTCAGAAAGTTGGCATATGCACTTTTAAAAACTTAAAAAAAAAAAAAATACATTCACAATGTTGTGTAACCGCCACATCTGTGTAGTTACAAAACACTTTCAACACATCAAAGTAAAACCCCTTATCCATCAAGCAGTCTATCCTAATTTCCCCTTCCTTCCAGACCCTGGTAGCACCAATCTGCATTTCGTGTTTTTCAAAACTGTTTAATGTGGAAGTAATTTCAAATTTATGAAAAGTTTTAAAATAAAAATAATACAAAGAACACCTACATACACTTTACTCCAATTCATCTGTTGTAAACATTTACCTCATTTGCTTCTCTATTATATATGCATATAATATATAATAATTTTAATTTTATGTTAATTACATATGATTATATACATGTATAATTATTTTCTGAACCATTTGAGGGTGACCCTCAGACATTTGTGTGGTCTGGGCATATATTCTCAGATTCAACTTTAGAATTGACTTGTGCTCTTTCAGTAGCTGCCAGGGGTGCATCTAAAACACAGAGATGATTGTTTTTCTAATATGCTCAAAACCCAGTGGGGACTTCTTTTTTGAACAGAGAAATCTCTTAACTGCTTTGCAAGGGCATTCAGTGTGCCCACACCGTGTTTTTTAACATCCTGTCTTGCAACTTCTGCTGTCCCCATTTCTTTATCTTTCATCAACTTCATCCACACTGAACTGCTTATGATTGCCAGTGACTGCCATCATATTTTTGGGGATTTCTTCTTCCAGATATATCCATCTCTCTTTCTCTCCTTGTCAAATTCACCCATGGCCCAACTTAAATGCATATTTTTGTTTTCACTTCCTTGACCTTATCCTTTATCCCCAAACACACATAGCACTTGTAGCAGAGGGACTAACAGCATGGGTTTGTCTTGCCAAATCATGGGTCTGTCACTTGTTAGCCATGTGAATTTGAGCGATTTCCTTCTCTTTTCTTCTGTTTGTTCCTCTGTAAAGTGTGAATAATAATAATACCCACCTCCTAAAGCTGTTATAGAATTAAATGAGAGAACATGTCCAAGTGTCTAAAACAGTCTTTGGTAGATAGAAAACACTCAATAACATGTGAACTACAGTTTTAGCAAGACTCAGCTCAGTATATTTTGATTACTTGTTTATATATCAATCTCCCAGGGCAGGCTATGGGATTCTTAATGATGAAAACCCTTGTTTATTCATCTTCATATCTCCAGCCTCGCTGTTAGGAGAGCTACCTTGTGAATAATAAATACTGCTAACTTACAGGTAATGCCCTTCTTTAGACAGAGTGGATTGCAAGAGACATTTCAAAGTGACATAATTTAAAAGAAAGGTGGAATCTGCACTAAGGAATCTTTAGCTTGTAACTGCTTGTGTGTGCTGGAATGAGCAAACAAAAATTCTAATTATCTTTCTAGGAAATGGATCAAATAAAAGAATTAGTTGATCTCCAGAAAACAACAACAACAATAAAAACCTGCATCCTTATAGCAAATGTATTGAATTTATTGTACTTTGAAGTACTGCTGTTGCCTCAGGTCAGTATTAAGCTTCTAAATTCTATGATATATCTACAAGTATATTAGTTTTTTAGGGCTACTGTAACAAAGTACAACAAATTAGGTGGATTAAGCAACAAAAATTTTTTGTTTCACAGTTCTGGAGTCTAGAAGTCTGAGATCAAGACATCAGTAGGATTGGCCCTTCCGAGAGCTATGAGGAACAATCTATTTCTTGTCTATCTTTCAGCTTCTGGTGGTTTGCAGGCAACCTTTGGCATTCCTTGGCTTGTAGATAAACCAACCCATTTTCTGCCTTCGTGTTCACATGGCGTTCTATATGTGTATGTAGCTCTGTGTCAAAATGTCCTGTTTATAAGAATGTCAGCCATATTGAGTTAGGGGCCCAACCTAGTCTAACCCAACTTCATAATAAATAATTATATCTGTAATGACCCTATTTCCAAATAACCTTCTGAGATACTGGGGGGTTAGGACATCGATATGAATTTTGGCAGGTACATAATTCAACTAATAACAATAGACTTTTAGAGAATGCCTTTAACATTTATTAAGGGTTGAATATCAATAGATGTGCTTTTGTTCTTCACTGTCCTTCTAATGAAAATTGTTTTTGATGCTGCTTTCCAGAACCTAAGTGTTAAGAGGAAACACTGAACGTTTCTAAACTTAGAGTTATGATACTTGATATTCCTGTGCACTAGAGAAATTCCTATCCAAATAGATAGATTTATGATTGTAACCTGAACTTTGCTGAAGCAGGCAGGTTTGCAAATTTTAGCAGTGTTGACATTCCAAGAAAGAAGGTAATGAATTCTAGAAATTCAAATCTGATCATTAAGGTGGAAGTGCTGGGGTTAATATAAAACTCACCAGAAGTAAAATATTTAGACAAACAGTAGAGGTATCATAGAATTTAGGGACTTGGGGAACATTCAATCCTTCCCTTAAGAAAAAGTCATTATATCCAAAGTAATGCACACGCTATTCTCAGTTCTCAAACACAGAGATAGGATGTTGATTACATTAAAGTAAGAAATTTGAAAATACCTGGCTTCTTACCCTGCCTGGTGGTAATATCTCTTAAAATTTGACCACAAACGTATTATACTCTCTGTTTCCTTCACGTTTTTGTTTTAGTTTTACCTGCAGAAAAACTTCTGCCATTTCTATTATTTTTGTCCTTAGTCATAATGTCTTTATGAATGATTTCATTGTTTTACCTTCTAAAATCTTGCCTTGTATAGAAAGTTTAAATGTGAGCCTTATAAGAAATGATGTTCCTTGCTTAGAAAGTATATTTCAGGAGTACAATTTGCAGAGTTAGAAATTACATTAAATAATTAAAATGGAGAATAGTTTCACTTATCAAATTGTATTTGAGTTAACCTTGAGAAACTCTCAGTATCTAGTATTGTGCCTTGGGTAGAAGGAATTTATTAATATCACCAACCCCCTTGGACTTATTAAAATTATCTTGTATTCAATATTTTTGAGTGAAATTAATACTTTCCCTTTTATTATTACTAATAAAGGAACATTATTAACCTGGGGTCGGAATACATAAAAAATATCATGAGGATACAAGTTCTTGAAGAATTTAATTACTGTGACTATAGCATCTTTTTTCTTAGCATTTTTTAATTGTCAGCCTGAAAAAGAATTGTCTGTACTATGTTAGGCATTTTGGCTCAACCCTGAGTATTTGACCCAAATGGGATAAGTGAATCGTTTTCATCTGCTCCCTTAAGAGTCTCTTGGCTTTATGAATCTTGCATCATGAATAATTAAACAGTGTTGGCCTATAAATTCCATCAGAAGCACAGTATCTCAGAGATTCATATTTATTTCACAAAAGATAAATACATTGAGGAATCAAATCCGGCAATTGTGTATAAAGCTTACTTTCAGGTATAAGTTTTTTTTTTGTGCAGTGAGAATTCAAAATCCTTAATAGACAAAATGTTAGTAACCCCACAACAGAAATCCAGGAAAAGTCCATTACTGCTTTTAAAACCTTCATATTAAGATTTCCTATAAAAATGTAAATGTTATGTCTCTAAATTTGTGAATTCAAGCTATTACACAGTACAAAAAAATATAGAAAATGTTTTGATAATTACTGTAAGCTGAGAATATGAACTGTCTCAGCAAGAGTACCTGGCCCTTCTAGAGTAATGAAACATAACTTCAAAGAAGACATTATTTTCTCTGTTCATTTGGATTGTTGGCCATTGAGTTAAAAGTAGAGATTAATTCCCCACTGTGGGAAATGAGCATTGAAATACTGACTTGCAGAAAAGACGTTTAGAATGAATTCAGCTTTCCCCTTTTTAACCTTCAAATATGGACCTTGAAGTCCAGGAAGACAAAACTATAAACTTCACTAAAATAGCTGCAGTTTGAGGACTATGTGCCTTGAGTAGTACTCTTCTCAGACAGTGAAGCAGCATGATCTATTTCAGAAAACTCTTTCTGTTTTCCCCTTCATTCTCCCTATCCCCAATTGGCTGTTTATAAATGAAAATATTGTATAATAAAACAATACATTATTTTTTTCATTGGGCATTAATTTCTAGTGTATTTTAAATGTGCATTTCCTACTAAGTTCTCAAATAAATAATCTTAAGTCAACTTCTCTGCATCATTTTGCTGGTCAGAAGGACAAGCCTTCTGTGTGCACTATAGCTGCTAGATGCTAGTGGGCGAATAACACAGCGTTCCTCTTTAATGAGGCGGCAGATTTCCTACCTCTGAAAATTAAGAATGTTGGTCTCTGCAGTAATTTGGCACAGGGCTGCTTTTACTTTATTAAATTTCTTCTAGTAGCAATAAAAAGAGTGCCAGTGTTAGCCTCAAACCCAGGGCTAGAAAGAAAATGTGTTGTTAGCCTAGGCCAGGTCTCAGTTGAACTGTTTAATACTGTGTGTAATTTTTTTCTTCCTCCTGCTCCTCCTCCCCTTCTTCAACTTCAGCCTCCCCCTCGTTCTTTTCCTTTTCCCTCTCTTTTTCTTTCTCTTCCTCCTCTTGCTCCTTCTCCTTCTTTTTCTGAAGTCTAGTCTGTTTTTATTTGAGAGTCCTCAGACTACTCTCAACTATCATGCGGTAGAGTCTTCAGTACTTCATGAAAGACTTGTCCTTCTAAGAACTGAGAACAAATAAAAAAAACCTGAATTAACAAACAATACTTAAATTCACAGATTGGAAAAGTGGCAATTATTCTGTGAAGTGTTGCATCATCCTAAAATAAAACCCCAAAACCTTCAATTTCTTAAGAATAGCTATATCTATATGTGTGTGTATAAACTATATATTCTCATATGCAAATATGCAGCACTTCAATAAAATGCTCAAAATTATTTATGAGAACAGGAAAACCTGAGAATCACTTACCTAATATGAGGTTATTCTGACATATAGTTTGATATGTATGTACTGATTGTCACAGTTTTCCTTGGTTAGTTTCAGTATAAAATATACGTGTTATTATTAAATATGCTTAAGAAATGGCAGAAGTTGGGCTGGGCATGGTGGCTCATGCCTGTAATCCTAGCACTTTGGGAGGCTGAGGCGGGTGGATCACGAGGTCAGGAGTTTGATACCAGCCTGGTCAACATGGTGAAACCCCGTCTCTACTAAAAATATAAAAATTAGCTGGGCTTGGTGGCACACACCTGTAATACCAGCTACTCAGGAGGCTGAGGCAGGAGAATTGAACCTGGGAGGTGGAGGTTGCAGTGAGTGGAGATCGCGCCACTGCTCTCCAGCCTGGGTGACAGAAGGAGACAACACAGAGTCTCACTCAAGAAAAAAAAAAAAAAAAAAAGAAATGGCAGAAGTTATACATAACAAGCTACTATGATTCCGATACCATGAAACTATATACAATCTAAAAATAGTTTTTATATTATCTTAGATGCAGCATCAAAATTACCAATATAAATTTATACTCTGGCTAATGGATTTTCCAACATAGAAAAAAAAATAAGTGTTTTACTAATTAATTTCCAACTCATCACCTCAATAATTACTAAAGTTTGTGAAAAACATAATTTCTAAACTAATGTTACTAATGTTATTTCAATGACTTGTTAGGATAGTCAAAGCTATTTATACATGAATAACAAGTTATTCGTGTCTGCTTTAAATTTTTGTCTAAATGAATCATTCTTTTGTTTTCTAATTCACAAAATCCTTTATAAGAAATAACTACATAGAGTCTGTGTATATATGTGTACATTTATATATTCACTATTTAGCATCTGATTACTCAGCTCTCTAACATGCTGTCTCAAAATTTTAAGTTATTTATTATTGTTTTTATTTTCAAATCTTCAACAAAATATAAGATTTAAAATCAGCTTGCCAAAAGTGCAACATCTTATATGGTTTGCACAATTTTTTCTTACAAGTCTAACAAAAAACAAACCTTTTTGGGAGCAAATACTACATCTTATCTGCCAGTGAATCCCCAGATCCTTATATGATGACTGATACATGGTAGGAGCTCAACAAATCTTTTTAGCAAGATTTTTAGCAAGAGTTAATTAATGACTGATCACTTATTGCATAGCAATTACTACTAATCATTCCTCAAGTGTATGTTTTATCTCTTTGGACTAAGCACATTACTCTTTTTTTTTTTTTTTTTTTGAGACAGAGTCTCACTCTGTCGCCCAGGCTGGAGTGCCGTGGCCATATCTCAGCTCACTGCAAGCTCCGCCTCCCAGGTTCACGCCATTCTCCCGCCTCAGCCTCCCGAGTAGCTGGGACTACAGGCGCCCGCCACCTCGCCCGGCTAGTTTTTTGTATTGAGACGGGGTTTCACCGTGTTAGCCAGGGTGGTCTCGATCTCCTGACCTCGTGATCCACCCGTCTCGGCCTCCCAAAGTGCTGGGATTACAGGCTTGAGCCACCGCGCCCGGCCAGCACATTACTCTTAATAAGATTTACAAAATTTTTGGATGTAATGTAAATACTCAAATCCTTGCATTTGAGACAGTTTCTAAGAGAGAACA